AGGTTAAATGAAGAGATGGAAATACAGGACTGGGGGTGGAGAGGCCAAGCAGTTCCTTTTGTCCATCTTCCTTCCCCTCTGACAGAGTTCTGATCCTCTGTGCTGAGACGCGCCTCCTTAATGCCAAGTGTCTAAATACTGATGCAAGGCTTTGATGGTCTCTTCGAGACAGCTGCTGGGTCTTAAAACAAAACCTTTGGCCCTTCTTTCAGTAGTATCTCTCATGGTGCTTTATGCTCCCCACATGGAATTCTCCTTCTTAAAAGGGAAAATATGCAGATAGTCTTTCAAAGAAATCTCCTTTTGTCGGGGGGTGGGGCTGTGGTTGTACAAGAAAGAAGTGGTCAGTGTTAGCTCCTCCCCCTTGTGAGGGAAGAATGTCTTCAGAGCAGCTTTTGGGCTAAGAAAGAGAAGAATGACAAAGGCTCTCTCCTCTGCTACACTTAAGGATCTGTTTCCTTGGCCTCAACTTAATGGCACATTAACAGGGTAGTCTGTCCCCTTAAGAAGGGGCAGCCATCCATGATAAGGAAGTTCAGCTTTGGGGTGTTTGATTAATGAAGGAGGGCCCACTGGGAGCATTGCAGTGCTTTAAATGTAATTCAGTGCACTGTTTTAAAAAGCTCCTAGAAGAGAAAACGAGAGAGGAAAGCAAGCTGTAAGGAGAAGCCAGGCTGCTGGCCTGGGGAAGAAGCCAAAGTGGAAAGTGGCTCTTCCCCTAATGTCCAGAGAGGATAGAGGATTTGGGTTTGTTTGTTAGAAACTGAAGTTTGTTTTGTGAAAAATAACAATACCTGAGGAGCTCATAACAGAGCTAATAGGGCTGTGTGAAGCTTCAGTTGCTGATTCAATTCAGTGGAGATTTGGCCCGGTTCAATGGCCAAATCTCCAAATCGAATCAGGAGACCCTTTAATCTCTCCTAATTGAATTGGAACCCTCTGAATCGATTCGAAAAGATTCGGACATAGAGACAGCTTTAAATGCTTTTCTACACGCCTCAAGGTACCAGGCGGCTCCTGAACGCTGCGATGCTGGGGTGGATGGAGCATCCCATGGGAGCATGGGGGGCTCCCCAGCAAGCTCAGCAGCAGACCCAGAAGTGGACACTGGGGGCCCCCCCCTCACCACCTCCGGCTCGGTGACTGGTGCCTCCTGGGTCTGGGATGGGCACCCAGGGTCCCCCTGCGGCTAATCACTGAGCCAGGGGGCGCGGGGTGGGCCCTGGTGTGCTCCCCAGTGGCCACTTCCGGGTTCTCCGTCAAGCATGGGGCGGGGGGGCCTGCACTGCTATGAGACACTCCATCTGCCCCAGCATCGCAGCATTCACAAGCCACACCTGGTACCTTGAGGTATGTAGAAAAAACATTTAAAGTTGTGTCTGTGGCCAAGTTGCTGATTCTCTGAATCAGCATCGAATCTTCAGATTTGGATTTGGCCAAATTGAATCAGGAACAGTGATCCAAATCAACTAATCAAATCACTGTCCCTGATTTGGGTCGAATCCGAATCCAAATCAAATAGGGCCCATTTCACACACCCCTAAGAGCTAACTCTGCTGCAACAGGCAGCAGGATAAATAACATATTTACAGGTCCCTAATGCAAAGAAGAATCTGCCTTGAAGAAATCTGATATTACACCATCAGTGTAACTGTTGCTTATCTACAGCACCAACCACACAGAAGAGCCTGGACTTTGCAGTCACCCAGGGTATCCATTTTCATCATGGGCAGTTGCATGACTGGCACTTCTTTTTTGAGGGAGGTGCCAAATGCCGTAGAAAGCCCCCAGGCAAACACGGTTCTTTGGGTAAATCTGGTATCTTTTATTAAACCAACTAAAATAGTTAGGAAAATTCTTCTTTGCAAGCTTTCTAGTACAAACACCCTTCATCAGGCTGAGGAAGCATCTGCAGTTGGGCCGTGCTCTTCCTGAATGGCTACAACCTATACCCAGAGAAAGCCGTTTTCAGTGATCTGATCCCAACCAGGGAGGAATGAAAGAGAAATACTGTTCTCTTGAATGGGATCCTGCCTACCCACCGTGTGGTAATTAATAGCAGGGTGGTTCTGTTTTATTTAATGAAATTACAGTGCACAGAATAACTGAAAAGTTAGAGCATTAGTAGTGTTTGAGTGGTATTGCAATTGATCCAATAAAAGATATCGCTCACAAAAATCCTACAGCAACACTAGTCAGATAAGGTTCAGCTAAATGTACTGTAAGTGTAAAAGATTTGCCCTGCTGAAGCATCATTACACAGGAAGCATTCACCACCTGAGTTGGGAAGGTATTTGAGTTCCCATACTCACTCCTTTCTCACTCTCCATGCTTCTTATTTACCCCTATAAATTAGACAGGACATTGGCCAAGGCCAAGCCTAGATAAAGGGGCTTCCTCCCCCTGTGATACCGTCAGACTCCTGTTCTGTCAAATGTAATTGAGGCCAGAGATGAATCATGAAGGTTGCCTCAGAGGGCTCTATTCCATGCCACTCCTAAAATAGATGGATTTCTGATATGAAATGTAGTTCTGACTCTGCCTTTTGCAGTTCTGTTGACACCGAAGCAGCCCAGTCGGGGCTCAGTTTAGGGAATATATTAATAAAAAACAGTATAGTTTGGGAGTTTTACGCCATTTTTCTCATTTTAAAGTATTTTTTTCTGGTCCTTTTTTCCTTGCTGCCAGTCATGTATATTTTATATATTCATTAGTGACAGGACTTTAAAACATGCACAAATCTTGCCTTGCTCACAGAGAGTGACAGTGTGAGCTTTAACACACTTTGTTGGGGAGGTGGTTGTTATTTTGCTATGTCCAGTCTGCGAAATCTGTCACAGTTCAATCAAGGTACATGTGTAGACTCTTGATGATCGGCCTCAACCTCAGCTAGGAACCAAAAGCACAGTAAAGAGGCACAGCCATTTCCTTCTTGCATCATCCCCAACTTCTTATATTAAAAAAAAACTAAGAACAATGAGCTATTTGGAGCATTGCTTAGTTTTTTCTGAACTACATCTGGTGCTGGAAAGGAAGTGTGTATGTGTGTGCATGCACGTATATGTGTTGCTGCATTCCTGTACATATAACTAAATGTTAGTTGTTGTTTAAGAACTTTTAAATGCAAGTGATCAGAAAGCACTTCCAATCACGCTGTAAATTTTGTGCTTTACACAAAGTGCTTAAAGTTACAGTGTGATCAAACTTAACAGATGTTTGGCATTTGGTAGTGGGGGCTCGGGCTCCAATCACTGTGAGCAAGGCTAGGACGCAGGGGCATGCCTCACAGCATTGCATGCACTAGACTGTGGGAAAGTGGGGAGAAGGACTAGGTGTTGCCTTGCACTCAGACTGTTAGTGACATCCTTTCATCCCAATGCCTCCTCCTCCTTAAGGCCAGGAAAGAGTCTAATAACTTGAGGGAGGGAAGTGGAGGGCTGAAGCTTTCTCTCCAGTAGCAGAAGGCCACTCTCTGGGGGCCAGTACACCCCCCTCTGTCATCAGACATTGGGGACCCTCACCCTCGGGTGGGGGTGCCAGCCAAGGCTGTCTGTCTCCCAGTCGCTGTGCTGCCAGTAACTGGCTGGCCATACCACCGTGCTCCCTCCCCCACCCATGCAGCGTTCCCTCATGTGGGAGAGGGTCTCGGAAGGGCTGCACTCCCCCCCAGTGGTGCCATTAGGCACTGGAGACCCTTTCTCTGGGGTTGAGCACTCCCCTATGTGGGGTTAAATTGGGGGGGTGCTGGACTGGGCCCAGGCAGCCTTGGGGCTCAGATCCCATCCCACAGCCAGCCTGCTGTGTTTTGACAGTACACTGGCCCAGCCAGCACAGGGCACTGACAAGCAGCAACAGGCTGAGGTGTGGGGTGGGGTGAGAGGCCTAAAGGGTGCACAGGCCTGGCCCACTGAACCCCACATGGCGGAGTGCTGGGCAGGCAGGGGAGGGAGTGCTGTGGTAGGTGTCTCTTGACATTTCTCTACTACATTTTGTCCTTGTGAAGCCACAGGGAGTAGGTTTGTAATAGTTAAATGAAAATAAAAGCTTTAAATTCCTCCCTTTTAGGGGTTTCCTAGAGCACCTGTATATTCAGTTGTAAAAGTTCTGGAGTTTGTCTTTTGTTTTATTCCATTGTTTATTGCTATACTTTTTGTGTACTTACACATTCTGTTTTAGTACAGGTATTTAACTTAAGCTACAGCCTGCCTAAAATTCCCAACCACCAAACTTTTGTGGAAGTGGTGTAAAAAGATCTTGATTGAGTGCTGTTATTTAGGGCAGGCTATGAGTCAGGGGCACACAAAGAATACATTTTAGGGAAGCAAAAACATCTTAGTGCCAGACTGATAGAGTGATAAATGTCAGCTAATAAAATCTATTCAGGTGCTAGCCTGTTAATTCACTTGTAAAAAAAAAAAGGTGGAGGACAAAGAAGAGAAGCACCAGGTTTGTGTGACTCCCTCGAATACATTTTAGGTGCAGATCCTGTTATGTAGTCATGACAAGTTAGTGAATCAGGAAAGGTGGTAAGGAGTTCTATTCTTAGAGCAGTTCTTGTTGGGAATGTAGCACCTTCTTTCTACAGGGTATTCTAGAGAACAGGACACATAAAGATAGTCTAGAACAGAGGCTCTCAAACTGTGATCCGTGGACCACCATTGGTCCGCAAGCTCCATTCAGGTGGTCCGCAGAAAGGTTGCGGAACAATTGAGAATATCGGTACTTGGCCCTGCGCTTAATTTATTTTTGCTGGAGATGGAGATTAGGTGGTCTGCTGAGACCCTCAGCAATTTTCAAGTGGTCCACAAAAAAAAAATGTTTGAGAACCACCAGTCTAGAAGGATGTGAGTGGGTCAACACAGCAGCTACAGATAGCAGGGGCCTTGAATAAAGTTTCTTGTTTAGTTTTCTCATAATAAAGGTTTGCTTTTGAGATTTAACTTTAACGTCCCTGTCTATATCTTTGTTATTAATATCTATTTTGTGTTTTAACTTCTTAGGCAACTGACAATGATGTGGGCACCTATGGGAAAGTTAGTTACTTCTTCAGTGATGATCCTGACAGGTAAGTGTGACAAAACCTACATAGCTGCAGTTCTTTAAACTGCCTTCTTGGTCTTACCAGGAAGTCACTCAACTTTACCTGCAATGCCTCATCTGAGAGAGAGCCTACTGAACACTGCAGTGTAGAGTTCAGCAGCCAACCTCTTTACATAAAACCTGTTCCTGTTTTCACTTGGCGTTTTCCCCCCCAACTAAATGTCTTTTGTTTATTTGGGTACTCAGGAATTTAGAGACATATAGAGCTGATTAGTATAGATGGCTTAGTCCTGCTGCCATTAAAGTTAGGGACAAAACTTCCATTATCTTCAGTAAGAGCTGGATGAGACCCACACAGGGTGCAGGTGCTTTTTGAACTACCCCTGAACATCTCCTCCAGAACATTTCAGATTGACCTGGGTTTGATATCTGCACTTGAAAAAGGCTTGTTAAAAATTGGAAATGGTTTAGGAAAAAGCTATAAACATTTGGAAAACACAGCTTACAATGCAAGAATTACTGAGCTGAATCTGCTCAGCTTATTAAAGATGGAGCTTCATCATAGAAGTTTTCTGACACTCAAATAATTTTTAATCTATCAGAGGGAGGTATAACAAGATGTGAGGGTTCTTGTTCAACCCCATACTATTGAGCTTGTTACAGCACTTACTGCATAAAGGTCTACAGCCTGTGAAATCACCTGTACTTGAGTGTTTGCATAAAGTTAACGATGGTTTTTTCATTTTTAAATGCATATTAGGCAAACATTTGTCTAGTTTGGCTCAGACAGAGATGATCCTGCCTTGGGTGGAGTGTTGGACTCTAATCTCTAGAGTCCAGCCTTTGGAGTCTAACCTCTGGAGTCCCTTCCAGCCTTGTTTTTTCATGATTCTATTATTGTATGATTAATTGCTTTATTATATTGGGATTTATACATGCAAGTGTTACTTGAAGTCAGTAAGAACATTTGATAAATCGTATCATAGTCTGTAGAAAAGCTGCATGACACCCACTTCTGCCACTGGTGTGTGAGCGGGGAACTAGACTGCCTCAGAGCAACATTTTGATTTCATAGATTTCATAGACATTAGGGCTGGAAAAGACCTTGGAAGATCAACGAGTCCAGCCCCCTGCCCCAGGGGCAGGAAATCATCAGGGATCATAGGATCCCAGCAAGATAACGTGGCTCATTAGAAGATGATATCAAGAAAATATCAAGATAACGTGATATTTTGTGTGGCTCATTAGAAGTCCTTTCTTAGAAAGAAAGGAGAGGGATATTGATGTTATAGCATAAAATAGGCAAAATTAACCCTCATATAATCCTACTGGCTTCACTGGGAGCTGAAGTTTCTCAGCCCCCTTGAAAACCAAGTTGTTTCCTTAAGTGCCTTAAAATGGGTTTGAGTGCCAAAGTTTAAAAAGGTTGGTTTTAATCATTTTGTGCTGCAGGGTCTTTACTAGTTTGGCTTTAGCTCCCTCCATGCTTCATTTTCTCTATCTGCAGAATGATTTGATCACACCTACTCCACAGTGGGGAGTTAGATTTAGCTGGTGTCTGGATTCTCCATGAGATCCTTGGCTGAAAGAAGCTGTTGAATTGTGACGTGCTGCTGTCAAGAAGAGGCTAGGATACTAACACCAAGCATGCTCTAATATCCCACTCTTACACTGTTATTTCAGACAACTTCCCATCTGTCTGGAGAGAGGTTGATTTTTATTTTATTTTTTTGTAATTCCTCTGTCTCTTCCCCTCCCTCAACTTTTTTTGGCTTGTCAGATTCTCACTGGACAAGGACACAGGTGTGATCACGCTAATTGGCCGACTGGACTATGAGACCACGCAACGCTACACACTGACAGTCATCGCGAGGGATGGGGGTGGGGAAGAGACAACGGGGCGTGTGAGAATTAATGTTCTGGACATCAATGATAATGTCCCCACCTTCCAGAAAGACTCCTATTTGGGGGCTATCCGTGAAAATGAGCCTTCAGTCAATCAGCTGGTCCGTCTCAGGGTAAGAAATTAGAAAACCAGGTCACTTGCTACTTTGCTTCCCTTTCTCCATGCCCTCAGCCAGGAACCACTGGGGAGAACTGGAGCCAATGACCCAGCATTTTTCCAGCTTTGATTAGTCTTAGAAGAGCTGAGGAGGGGAGGGAATGAAGCAGTATGAAGCATGTTATAAAACTTTTTCTCCTCCTCGCCCCCCCACATCCTGTCTAATTTTTCTCTTGTACTCATCATTGTTCTCTTTCATCCTTTCCTATTGAAAGGCAGTCTGAAGCTAGTGTGATGCAACTATACCTCTAGGAAGCCCTACAGGGAGAATGAGCCACTATAATTAAACTCTTCATGGATGCAATTAAAGAGGAGCATCACTGGGTCAGGAGTATGGGGAGAGGAAGAAGGAGAAGGAATTGCTGTCCATCCTTTCCTTGTAAATGCTGTAATTAATCCTTAATGTGACGGGAATTTGGCAAGATGCTTACTTTCAGTATTGCCCCTTTCTTCCCCTCCTCCAAGCCTTCCTCCACTGATTACATGCAGGATTTACTGCATCATACTTTGTTACACTTGGAGTGATTGGGGCTTCCCTGAAGGCTCTCTGGATTTTGTGACAGAATTGGAAGGATGCTAATGAATTTGCCTCAGTATAGAACAGAAAGTACATCAGATGGGGAGAGTTGAATTTTGACTATGACAGCCTGTATTATCATCCCTCAGAAATTCCTGTGAAAGGCAGGGTTACAGGAAGACAGGAATCTATTGCTAAAGGGAGATGTAGCGTTACCAAAGGCAGCAGAATTTTCATTTTGATAGGTTTGAAATTCATGGGGCAAGCACATTCAACTTCAAAATTCACCATTGGCATGACAAGCTGTACCAATGTTGACAAGCTCCCCAAATGTAGACAAGCTGAGCTTAGCAAAGGGGAGGAGAATTGCAAACCTTTTCCATCTAAGATGAATCTTCAACAGAGCTTCATCAGGAGTTCTCCATCCCCAAGATCAATGCTTCCTCCTGAATGCAAACTCCTTTTCACTACCTTCTGAGCCTTGCCAAAAATCCAGCAGGCAGGTGCTAAGCTGTTTGCTGCTGACAGAATTATAAGCTTTTTCCATGAAAATGCGGGCAATGGAAACCGCTTGCCTTCTTCACCATGGCAAAAAGCCCCTTGTGTTCTGGACTCTTTGTAATGATCATTAAGCTCTGCTGTCTTTTCCCCAGAAAAGCAGATATGTGAACGTAGCAAAAGTGCTGCAGTCACATTTTTAAGTGTTTCACATCAGTGTGTTTATATCCATAGGTGTTTTGCTTCTGCCCAAAGCAAAACAAAAAAAAAAAAAGGTGGGTCATGTCAAAAGGCATTTCTTCCCTCAGAGACAGGATGGGAAGAAATTATGATTTCAAAACTCCTTTAACTAGTACTGAACACCAGTTTGCAGACCTAGTGTTGTATGCATCCTTAATGACTGTTTCTGGGTCTTTCCCCGATGAAACCAGTAGGCCAGACTGGAAGGGAGGGAAAAGCCTTCTCCAACATACCCACAAGTGGAGGAAGGAGAAGAGGTTTGGCCTAAACATGAAGCTAAAATATGTAGCCCAGAAGAAACCAGCAAGTGAAAAATCAAGGTGGAAACTGAGTCTCTCTGTTCACTACAAAATAAGGGATACCACAGGCACTACCCAGAATTAATTATATCCATTTTGAGGGTCAAAGGAAGGTAGTATACAGTATAGAAACTGAGGAAACAGATAAAGAAAATCCATTTACTTTACCACCTTTGTAATCCAACTCTTACTTTACCACCTTTGTACCCACTGTCCCATCCCTGCAGCTCTTTCTTCCTCCTCCTTGCCCTCTTTCTAAAATCATTTGCTTCGTTGTTTCTTCTTCTTAGACAGCACTTTTTCTCAGACATGATTCATTCATTGGTGTGGTGATTCCAAGGCTTTCTTCTGCTTTAATTCAGGCAACTGATGAAGATTCTCCACCAAATAACCAGATCACTTACAGCATTGTGTATGCTTCTGAATTCCGGAGCTACTTTGACATTAGCATCTATGAAGGATATGGAGGTGAGCACTGCTGAGGTACTGGCAAGGTGTCCCATGAAGAGGATGAACAAGAGACTGAGTGGGAGAAGGGATTGCTGCTACTTAGCAGGAAAAGGGTGATTCAGTTAGACTTTTTTTCTGCTTGGGGATAGATTAGAACTGTAAACACTGGCTGTCTGTGGAAGGAGACCTGCAGCATGCTATGCTTCTGATTCGTACTATCCAGAGGAGGCCCAGGTTTTTTAAAGTGAGTAGTGATTTCAGGTTTGCCAGTTTACAGGTGCCAAAATGACACCTTTGCAAGGGCCTCATTTTCAAAAACTGATCATCTGCCATCTGCAAATCTGGCTCCCTCGAATTTGGGGAAGAAATAGAGATGCCCTAAATCACACATCACATTAGAGAATCTTGACCATAGTCAGTGCTGGTCTGCCAGGAATTGCAATTGCTAGCCTGTAAAAGGAATGGGAGTCACTGTTGTTCCTCTGTTCAACTCATTCTGGCAGAGAGTAGATGGACATTGTTCCACTGGGTGACTAATGTTGACTAATGCTTAGGTGGCTCAACTAATAGCACACTTACCTTGGAAAAGCTGTAGTTTCCTGCACTAGAGCCACTGCAGTAAGAGCTGGCATTTTAACCTCATCCAAACCAAAGATAGCACCAGCGCTGACACTTCAGTGAGCAGAGTGGGGGGAAAAGGATAGACAAGGCCCAAATGGCCAGAATCTGAGTGACCAGATGGAGTAGCTCAGATACAGTTCAACAAGTGTATAGATTAGTTAGTCAATTAGCTTGTATTAATTGCATTTAATCTAAAACTGTATGCCGTTTTAGTGATAAGTGTGACACATCCCCTGGATTATGAGCAAGTCTCCAACGGAGTTATTTACCTAACTGTGATGGCCAAGGATGCTGGCAACCCACCACTCAACAGCACAGTTCCTGTCACCATTGAAGTGTTCGTAAGTATACGGAACATGTCCACTATAACCTCCCTACAGGGCACCATCATTCCACCAAGAGCAGAAGTTTTTAGCCTGACATACCCAGAGTGAGCAGCACTGGTAGTGCTAAACAAGTATGTCTTCCTGCTTGATGCCAGTGTTCATTTGAAGGGGTAATGCTTTGTACTTACCCAGCACCTTCATGCCAGGATCATAAAGGGTTTTATAAGCCCTGTGAGGTAGGTAAGTTTGATTCTGTCCATGGTTCAGATATCTAAACTGAGGCTCAGAAAAGTTACGTGACTTACCCAAGACCGTTCATCAGGCCAGGGGAAGAACTTGGAAATCCTGTCTTGCAGTTCCATGATACAATCACATGATGCTTCCCCTGTGTTACTCCAGCAAGATCACCCAGCACCAGCATAACACAGTGTATTTTGTACATCTAATATCGTGTATTTGTCTGTATCAATATGTATACTCACATGTTGACTTTTCTCTCCATTTTTTAAAAATTCCCTTTTAGAAATAACTTTACAAAATGCCATTCCTTTCCTTTTCAAGTATGTTCTTTTTATTTCATGAAATATATCCACACCATCCTTTTAGTTTCTAGCTGAGAAGCAGCCTTACCAGAGGTGCCGATAGGTACCAGCTATCTCAGGAAGCTAGCAAATGGCTCTTATAAGGCATGTGTAAATGAAACAGGGGCCCTAAATTGAAGCAGTGGGTTTTAAAAAATGCCACTTCAATGTAGGGCTGATTAAACCCCCATGTCATTCACGTACCCCACTGACTTACCTGCCTGTCTGGGGGGAAGGGGAGGGTGGGCTGCTGGCAGGCAGAGTGGTCCCTGTGCCACGGTGGGAGCTGGTGCTTCCCTCAGTGGCAGGAGTGCCCTCCCCCAGGCAGCACCCGCCCACAGGCACCTGGCTTGGGCAGTCCCAGGGCGCACCGCAGCCACAGAGGGAAGCACTGGGCCCCCATGTAGCTCAGGCAGGCAGGCAGGCTCCGGGGGTAGGGTGGAGTGATCAAGCTTGCTGCTTTCCTTGGGCAGAGGCTGCTTTCCCAGGCTGTGGCCAGGCTGCCTGCAGGGCTTCCTGCAGAGCCGTGGAGCTGCACGGGGCCCAGTGCTTCACTCTACAGCTGAAGTTTTAGTTTGCTGTGCCCCAAGTCATTTAAGGTGCATTATGCCGCCAAATTTCCTACAGCAGCTGGAATTAATGGACACCACAGAGGTGTGCAAACACCGGCACCATTAAAGCGGTGCAAAAGCATTTAGCCCCCTTTAAGGTGTTGTGCACATGCCTCTTGTTTCGTCTACACACAGCCTTAGTGGAAAGAGGTCACAAACTTTTTTTGTGTGAGACACAAACATGGTGAAAAAGTACTTGCCAAAATAAAGATTTTGCTTTCAAACATTAATTTAGTAGTTTCAGGGTTGAAATTGCAGAAGCCATTTGACTCATGGTCAGCTTGAGGGCCTAGCTCTTCTAGGCACTTTGGAATCCCTTAGCTTTAGGGTCTTAAAGATACTGACCAACATGTTATGGTAGTTTTGAAGAAAGAACTGAAATATGACAACAGCTTTAATATTAGATATGCCCAAGTGACTGACAGGGTGATTCAGCAGACAGATG